TGTTAGTGCCTAAGCACTGTACCAAGACCATTAAATAAGAAAATATGCAAATAAAAATAGATTCATAAATTGTAATAAATGCTAGGCTAACATAAGAAAGGGAAGAGAGTGAATTACTCTAGTTTGGGCAGTATAGGGAGTATGAAGGAAGCCTCCACTCCTCTTGGAGAACGTAGTAATTATATCTTTTAGGGAGCACACTGGATTTTCATACATTTTTAAAAATAAGCTTTTTATTTTTGAACCATTTTAGATTTACAAAATTATTGTGCTTGTAGTACAGAGAGTTCCCAATATGCTCCACACCCAGTTTGCCTATTAGTAACAACTTACATTAATGTGACTCATTTGTCATAATTAATGAACCAATACATTAATATTAACAAAGGCCCATACTTTATTCAGATTTCTGCAGTCTTTCTCTAATGCCCATTTTCTGTTCCAGGAGCCCATCCAGGATATCACATTCCATGATCAGGTCTCCTGAGACTGCTGTTGGCATAACAGTTGTTCTGGTTACCTAGTGCCACTCTGACAAGAATATACCACAAATGGGATGGCTTGAACAAACAGGAGTTTATTCTCTTACATTATGGAGGTTTTAAGTCCGAGTTCACAGTACCAGGCTCTAGAGGCTGGGTGAAAGCCCTTCAACCTTGATCTTCAGCTCTGCTTCCTGCTCCTGGCCCACTGGAGCTAGAGACTTTTCTTCATCAGACAGCTACTGGCTGCTGAGACTGACAAGCCCAAGGTTGACAAGTAAAAAGGCACAATCCCGATGTTACCAAACCACATGGCAGGCCATTAATTCAAACCCATTGAAAGTCCCAAGGTCAGCAGAGCATAGCAGACTGCTGAATAAGACACAGCTACATGCAGGGTTCAAGCATGCCATAAGCCAGAGACTATTCCCCAAGGCTTCTCCTTATATGCAGGAAGCAGACCACATCCCAAAGGCAGCTAGTTAGCTGCTTGTGGTAGATCCCACCATGGAGTTGATTGCCAGTCTCATGGGGAATACTACATCCAGCTGCCCAGCCACTCAACCAGGCCCAGCCATGTTGACACATAACCTTAACTACCACAAAAATTTCTTAGACTTTTCTTGTTTTTTTAATGACAGTTTTGAAGAGTACTGGTCAGATATTTTGTAGAATGTCCCTCAATTGGGATTTGTCTGATGTTTTTCTCATGATTTACTGGGGTTATGTTTTTGGGAGGAAGACCACGGAGGTCAGATGCCATCCTCATCCCATGATATCAAGGATACATACTATCACCATGACTTATCCCCATTGGTATAGACCTTGACCCCCGGCTGAGGTAGTGTTTGTCAGATTTCTCACCTGTGAAGTTATTCTTTCTTATTCCCCCTTCCGTATTGTACTTTCTGGGAAGACGTCACTGTGCTCAGCCCATCTCCACCTTCCTGAGGGCAAAGTGTTTACGTAAATTATTTGGAATTCTTCTACAAGGGGCATTTGTCAGTTCTCTGAGTTTCGTCTGTTTTTAGCAATATTTTTTATGCTGGGTCTTTTTATTTTTTTTTTTAATTCAAGAACACTGTTGGTGTTTCTAGAAACCTAGAACTATTTTACTTCAATTAGTAAAATGCATGAAATTACTAAAGCACTAAATCAGAGAGTAGGAAAAATATCTAATAATTAATTTTGATTTTTCCATTGTCAGTATGCATCACTGAAATAAGATTTGGGAAATACCAAAAAGCAGAAGGAAGTATCTTTTTAGTCCCACTGCTCAGAGCTGACCTTTGTTCATATTTTGATATATCTTTTTTCACTTTTCTTCTGTGCACAATTTTTATACAGATTATACTGTCTGTGTAATTTTGTACCCTGCCTCTACTCTCTTTTGTGTGTGTGTGTGTGTGTGTGGCATATTATCCTATCAAAAACGTTTCTTCTATGTTGTATACAGACTTCATAAGCATTATTTTCAATAGCTACTAAATACTCCTTCACGTGGTTCACCGTTTCCCCCCGAACCTAGCATGATGCCTGACACATAGTCAGTGTTTACAAATTATTTGTTAAGTGAATGAATATATAACAAATTAATCATTCCCTCGTTTTTAGAACTGTAGGTTATTTTCTGTTTTCTTGATTAGAAATAGTTCTGAGACAAATAGATTATTCCCTTAGGATAGTGTCCCAGAGTGGAATTAACGGGCCAAAGGGGGCCAGAAACTTCTAAAGATTAATGCTCCAGACTAGGAATCTTCCTCCCTTCCCCTGTGCACCACACAGTTATTGTGCCAAGGGTAATAATTTACAATTGATTAAAGAGTTTGTGGGGTGTTTTTTCCCATCTTTTTCCCCCTCCTCTCCTCCTCCCCTCCTGCCAAAAAGGGGGAAAATTATCCGAGAAGGTGAAGATGTTCTCAGACAATCATATTAACATATTCCAACAATCGCAATTTGCAAAATAGTAATCACAACTCCCAGGATCTGGGAGGCATTAATCAAAGCTGCAGGTTTAATTCCATTTTAAATATTGATGAAATGTGCTTCGGCAGCCTCACCCTGGCGTGGCAGGGCCAGGGGAGCCGCAGCATTGCGCAGGGGAGGTGGAGGGAGGGGCAGTGAGCAGCTGCCAGGAGGGGAGGCATCTGTGATTCAAATTGGTGGCTGTGCAGCCAGGTAGAGAGTGAAAGGGGTAGTGAAGAGGGCTGTTAAGTCCATTGCTGTCAATTTGTAACAATCAGGGAGGGGCCTGAAGACTGGTTCAGCACAATAAACCCAGTTTGTCTGGTTTCAGGGGTTACCACTGAAGAGGTTGCAGCTGCACTGATTCGAATAGCCTGGAGACTTCAGAACTGTAATTATCAACCAGGCTGCTCCAGTGTGGCAAACGTGGGCTTCACCAGCTCTTAACTCCTTGTGTGCTGACACACTACCGCCGCTTTCCCCACCGTCGCCTCCCCACCCCAGGGGTTTGGCAGTCACATGGGGCCTCCCAAGCAGCCTCCCCAGGGGAAACTGAGGCCCACTGGCTGGTTAGCAGCAGTCCTCAAAAGCCGAGCAGAAAGCCTTTTTTTTCTTAGGTGACATACAAAGAAAGAATGGGGTGGGGAAAAGGTTTTCTGTGGGACGACCTCTGTGCCTGGCACCACCACGTCTGCCCTGGGGTGAGAAGGGTCAGGATGTGGAGCCTGATAAACACTGGTTTGAATTTCACTGGCATAGACATAGGATAAAGCTCAACCCCTCTATAAAATCGGAGTAATCTCCTCTACGCCACTGGCCTGTTAGAAAGATTGACAAGGTTCAGTTTTTGCACTGAGCACACAGGAAGCTGTCAACAAGCATCTATCTCCTGATGCTGGGTCCGGTGCCAGCCACACTCAGCCTTTCACAGAAGAGGAATGATTCAGAGGGTGGGCTTCCTGCCGGCCCTCTGAGTTTCCTGCTCTTGGGGAACGTCCTTGTTCGCCAGCTTCTGCCACTGGGTGGGGAGTCTGAGACCTCTCCCAGTCCGGAGGCCTTGGGCGAGGTAAAGAGAAGAAGCAAGAGCTCCTGCGGTGCTGTTTGCCTGAGGACGGGTTTGGGTCCCAGGGCATGGCACAGAGAGAAGGCAGGGAGGGGAGGCTGGCAGGTAGGCAGGTGCGGTACAGAGAGAAGAAACTGGCCTTCTCTGGTAGAGCTGCTCAATGAAGTATGTATATGACCCCCTGGAAGTCTCCCTCACACCAGTGAAGGGATGTGCACAAGAATGTGTGTCCTAGAGCCATTCACGACAGCACTGGTTTAGAGGCATTCTAGGTGTCTGCCACTGGGAGGATGGACAGTTCAATTTGACAGAAGCCCCCTGTAGAGTATTAGGAGAGTGTTAGGGAGAAGCAGCAAATCAGTAGATGTACATGCAGGACAGGAAGGAAAAGCAAAAAATCCACTGGCGTCAAGCCCGTTCCAACTCATAGTGACCCTAGATCTTGAAAATGTAGCATTGAATGAAAAAAGTGAGACACAATGAAATTCACAGCACAATGCCACTTATGTAAATTAAAAACACATTTGCACACAAAACAATAGTACATATTTTATAGAGCTATGTGCATTTTTAAGGGTATATATCCCACCATTAGAGAGTCCTTATGGTGGTGGGGGAGGGGCTGGGTGTGGGTTTGAGGGGGCAAAGGGGAAAAATAAAAATAAATCCACAGAGGGGCCTTGTGGAGAGATGATGGTAGTGTACTAGAGACTTAAGAGTATGATGCAACTCAACTGAATGTGAAGTTTCAAAAACAGTTTGGGTTTTGCAGCCGGACAATCCTGGGTTCGTATCCACATACTATCCCTGTGGCTGTGGACAAGTGACCTCTCTGAGCCTCTGTTTATTCATCTGTAAAATGGTAGAAGTAACTACTGTTTGCCAAGTAGTCACAAGGAGCAAATAAAATGCAACAAACGTGTTTAGGGCTGTCCGGGATTACCAGTTCGTGCTTCCTCTCCATTCTCTGCTGAGTAAACAGGGTATCAGCCCCTGACCCTGGAGACCACAAGTCCTTTGAAGGAAGCTCTTCAAAATGGGGAGAGCCCAGAAAGCAAGCTCAAATCTGAAGGCTCTGTCTCCTAGCACCACCCCACAAGGCTTGGACCCAACTGTTCGGGGTGCTGTTTGTGGTATGTTGGACTGGACAAGTGCCCAAGTGTAGAGCTGCTCTCTGACCACCTGCCAAGGATGGTCCTGCCCAGGGTGACCAATCGGCCTCATGCTGACCCCCACATCTGCAGCATCCACAAACTACTAACCCTTTTGAGTTCAATTTCCCGAAGACTAGGCACTTACTGGCAACTGAGAGGTTTAGTTTTAGTGAAAGGTCTATTCCTTTCCAATACAGAGCCAAACAACCTGGCCATCAAGGCCATCGCCCCATGCTGGCGTGCACCTCGGTCCCAGTGCCCTACCCAGAGAGCTCCCTGTGCAGGAAAAGCCCCTGCAAGCACCAGGTATGACCAGCTCTTCCCCTTTCCTTGCAGACGATGACGAGCATGAGTGGATTGTCCGGACCTGTCGAAAGAGCTCTGATGAGATCATAGGTCAAGAGCCCAGGCTGTGAGCTTGGCGCCACCCCACCAGGGATTTCCATCTGCACCACTGGCATTGGTTAGTCCAAGAAAGAAGGATTCATTCCTTTTAGTGCCTTTTGACTCAGGAATAAAAATTTTCTGCAGTCAGTAGCCCCGAGTGGACTCTCCTTGGAAAAATGCTGAAGAGTGGAGACCTTCATTTAACCTGCATCACCGTCACCCAACGATCTGCAAGTCCAGGAATTTCTTACGCATATGAAAGGTTGGGGACCATCACGTTCTCAAAAAACTGACCAACCAACCAACACACTGCCGTCGAGTCCCTTCCGACTCCTAGCAACACTCTGGGGCAGAGTAGAACTGCCCCATAGGGTTTCCAAGGCTATAAATCTTTGTGGAAGCAGACTGCCTTATCTTTCTCTTGCGGAGTGGCTGGTGGGTTTGAACCACCAAACTTTTGGTTAGCAGTGATATGCTTTAAGCACTGTGCCACCAGAGCTCCTTATCACCTTATAGATAATGTCATGAAATTATAATTTCACAAGTGACTGACTTGTGCAGGCGGGTGTGTGTGTGTGTATGTGTGTGTGTGTGTGTGTGTGTGTTGCATTATCTCTGCTCCTCACAACAGCCTGGTGAAGGAGGACTTAGCATCACTTTTCACACATGGGGAATCAGGTTCAGAGAGACCGTCCAGCCTCTGATTGATTGATCTTCCCAAGGTCACACCATACTTGGATCCAGGTTCTTCTGAGGATGCAGCCGACCTGTTTGTTACTCCACAGAATTGCCTGCCTTACCACTCTTTTTTTTTTTTTTTTTTTATAGCACCAATTTTGTTTAATTCATTAAAGCATGATTTTTACTTCACTTTTTTAACTTTTTATTGTGATTTGGGTGAAAGCTTACAGTACCTTACCAGTCTTGGTCTCACAGGTCAGTAGGACCTGATGGCTGTGCCTGGACTCCCAGCTGGTCCATTCCTATGTTGTTGTAGTTGTTGTTATGTGCCGTCAAGTTGGACCCGACTCATAGTGACCCCTCCTCAGGTTTCTGAGGTAGTATCATTATGGAAGAAGATTGCCCAACCTTCTTTGCGAGGAGTAGCTGGTGGGTTTGAATCGCCAGCCTTCTGGATAGCAGTCAGGTGCCTTAGGCACTATGCTACCAGAGCTCCTGTCCATTCCTATAGGCTTAAGAATTACCCAGGACTTCCTCTCCCTCTTGTCAGCTCTCATAATTGAGCTTCACTCAATTGGCAACACAAACCCTGTGGCAACACAACCACTGCACTGCCATAGAAAGAACATAGCTTTGGCATCAGACATGCTTAATTTCAAATCCCAGCTCAACCTCAGGTATCACGTAACCTTGGGCAAGCCACTTCACTTCTCTAAGTCTCAACTTCCTCACCTGTAAAATGGGTATAATGCTTAAAACAATAGCATTGCTATTGTCTAATAAGTTGCTGTGTAGATTGAATGAGAGGATGCAAGTTAAAGAGCTAGTAATTAACGGGCTTACCGTATGCTTGCTTTGAAGAACAGTTTGCTAGATAGACATCACACTTGTCAGCTGAGAATCAGGAGAGGAAGCAGTGACATGTTCCAGGGTCACACTTAGGCCACAAGCACTCTCAGAGGTTGGTGAGGTGCTTTGTCCTCTGGCTCACCAAAGCTGCCCAGTGGAGGCAGGAGAGTGAGCCAGCAGACTGGGAGGGCTGTAGGGGGAGGAAACTGGACCTCAAACAAGGGACCCTGAAGGTGTCATGCCAGCACAGAGCCAGGAATCAGAGGGAGGCCTAAGCCCACTCTCCGTTGTGCCAAGAAGGGGTCCTGACTCTCCTCTGAGTCTCCAAGTCAGCTCTGTAGAATGAGAGGGTTGGGCTCCATTGGTAGTTTCCAAACTTTTGGAAAAAGAAGGTGCATTCACGTAAAGCAACACATATATACAAAAATAAAACTAAGCAAATTATTTTTTCAATAACTTGCATAGATCTAAGTCAACATTTGAAAAATGTATCAGAAGAGTGGATGGGGAGAAGAGATGGGATCGGGAATGGGGACGATAAAAAAAATAAAAAGACACCCTGCCAAGTCAGTGGCACGGTGCACCATGAACCGAGTTTTACAGGCAACTCTTTCTGTATGGGAGCTCTGGTAGCATAGTGCCTAAGGCGCTTGACTGCTAACCAGAAGGCTAGCAGTTCAAACCCACCAGCCACTCCTCAGAAGGAAGGATGGGCAATCTACTTCCATAGAGATACAGCCTCGGAAACCCAAAGAGGGGTCGCTATGAGTTGGTCCAACTTGACAGCACATAACAACCACCACCACCTATCTGTACAGAGTGACAGGAGCTGAAGAAAGCATCTGTTCGCAGGGCCACTCCACTCATCTGCTTCAGGTGCTGGGCTGCCCAGGGCTTTGGCTTGAACAAATGATCTGCAGCTAAAAAAAGGGGGAGAAGAGGAGGCAACCACACTAAGAGATGCTTCATTTCCCTCCTTAAGTTGTGTAGTGGGTCTGGAACCTGACCTGGCCAATATGAGGCCCAGTCTTGTGCAGAAGCAGCTGAGGTAGGCCATCTCCCAGCCACCATTCCCTTCACTTCGCACCATACCACCTTCTTCCCCAACAGTGTTCTTCCAAACAGGCTCCTCTGTCTCCTTCCTTCCCCCAACACCCTCCTCCATGTACTCCCATCTGTTCTATGAAATGCTTGTCTGATAGGACCCAGCTCGAATGCCCACAGCCTGGACACCCACAGCATGTTGTAAGGATGTCTGTCTATGACATTTATCAGATTGGGTCCACCTGGTACATGTCTCTGTGCAGAACCAGCACAGGGCCCAGCAGAAAGTATAGATGTTCAGGGAGGGTTACTGGGCAGCAACCAGCCCAATTCCTACAAAGCTCAGATAACAAGTCACAGTGACCAAGTACTTAGAAAAGAAACCCACCATCATTCTTTTGTAACACACAGTTCACTAAGTGGGAAACAGGACCAAGTTTCCAGCTAGGGGGACTGATTGCACTGCCCAACAGCCCAGATAACTGTGGGAGCCATGGGTCTGAGCCCCTAACCAGACAGCAGGAAAAAATGGAATCCCAACATGTTCTGGATTTAAGTGCCAGCACTTCTACTTGCATTAACTTTATTTATTACACAAATAAGACATTTACAAAGCACGACATGAAAGATAGGTAACAAAACAGACATTGGTTTTACCAAAAAGTGCTTACATTTTTTTCCATGTGTATGTTTTCCCCTTTTGTTTTGTATTTAAATAAATAGTCTTGACGGTCTTTATGCTCCCCAGGCTGCTCTGACAGGGTACGGGAGACATGTTTGAACTGTAACATTCTATGGCCACATGATCCACACAAGGAACAGACCTGGGGGTGGCTCAAGGCAGAGTGGGTACTAGGAGACCCTGGGCAGGGCTCAGCTGGCCATTTACCACATGGTTCCAGTTGGGGCTTAATCATCAGGTGCAAACCTCAAAGGAAAGATTAGAGCTTCCAAGGCCAGGGATCGGCCTGAGTCACCGCTGTTACCATCGGTGCCCAGCACAGGGCCAGGCACAAGTTACTCGCTGGACGAGTTCCAAACTGAGCTACAATGACCACATTCTGAGTGGTACCTTCTCTTTGCCCTGGGTCAGTTATAATCATCTTCAGAAAGGTGAGAAACAGGTTCCTCTCTCGGGCTGCATCTCTGCCTAGCCCTCCTCTAAGTCCCGGAGCAAGAATGACATATCATTGTAAGTGCTAACTTCAAGCACTTAGATTCTGAAACTTTATCCAGACTCAGTGAGACAGAGTGCTACCATTGATGACTAATGTCTGCCATGGGTAAAAACAAGGACAGCTGCTGCATGTGTACCATGAACTTGCTTTCCCTCTCCTAGAGTCTCCTTCTAGAAGGAAAGTGTCAGGTTAACCATAGCATAAAGGAGGACTTGGGCTAAAACACACTTAATAGCAGCCTCTAGTGGGAAATGCATCAAGACACCAAGGAGTTCCAGAACTAAAAGATAAGCTTGGGTGGGACAAGTGGATGTCCACTGAGCACATGAGTCACGGTTGTGTGTAGCCCAAGCCTTTTTGTTTGGTGTGAAGAGATGCAGCAAGATGGTATAGATGTGAGCACAGTGGTGTCTGGCCTCTGTTCTCAGAAGTGGGTGGGGATGCCACTGGGCAGTGTTGGTGGGGAAGCCCAGAGGGGCCAGCTGGAACCCTGGGCCAGGCACTCCCACCCAGGCAGTAGGCATATTCTCTATACTCAGTCTGGGCCTGGAATTAATATGCTGTCTGCCATCTCACTAGGCTCTGTTCCTGGGACTGCAACAGGATGATCCAGTTCCTCTGTCATTGTCCCTCAGAGCAGACTCAGCCCAGGTGCCCCCACCAAAGGTCAACAGTGGCCAACAAGGGTCCCCATCTCTAACATGCCCAGACATTCTAAAATGTCATCACACAGCTCAAACACCATTTCTCTTGTGTTCCCGGCATCCATGCTGGATAGGGATAGGGATGGGGTCTGCCCTCTCCATGCTGAGTGTAATGTTCCCTCTCCTTAAAATGATAAGTGCCTCTCAGGAAGCAGTGTGCCACATCCCTCTCCTTGATCTCCCAATCAATGGGAGTCAGTAGCCCGCCAGCCGCGCCTAGCCCCCTGCCTCTTGGTCTGGGCAGGCCTCCATCTCTGCCCTGTTGGGCCTCTCAGGGTCGGTCAGTGTCTCTTCTCTCTCTGAATTAACTTGACATAACCAGACAGATGGAAATGATAAAATTAGAACATAGCTTTCCTTTGGGGACATCCCACAAACACTGTAGTTTTCCAGACAAAAGCAACAGAATGGATAACATTGGGAGTTGTTGGCTATTCAGAATTCAGAGATGGTTCCAAGGAAGTAGTAAATAAAGGCCAATATGGGGGGAGGGGAAGAAAACCTGTAAATCAGAAGGCTGTTGGCGTCACACAATTCAATTCTGCCTTTTGCTATTGTAATCAGTTTAAGTTG